ATCACACGTATATTTTACCTAAACTGTGCCTGAATGAATATATTCTCGGAAATAAATAGTAGTTTTGCTGAAACGTGATGTATTTCAATGTAAAATAGGATAAAATACATGTCGAAAACAAAAGACTTTACCTATGCTTCCGATGTTCTTGAGATGTTACTCGTTTTTTTAATAGTTTTCGGTTAAAATTCTGTTATATTACAATGATATTCTATTCATACTGTGCTTGATATAATACATTCACGGAAATGTAATATTTTTTGCTGAAATGACGTACGTATTACAGTGGAAAGTGGGATAAAATCGTGACGAAAACAATGACTTTGGCTTTCTTTCCTTCAAAATATGTTACCGTAATCACTTTTCGAATGGTTTAGTTAAAAAACTGTTGTATTACAATAATATTCCCTCCTAATTGACTTGAATAAATACTTGAATGGAAATATACAATATTTTTGTTGAAACTACCCGCATTTTAGTGTAAAGTGTCGTAATAATAAATGGCAAACAAGTTTATAGGACGTAGTGTTTCTCTGAAGGTTTTGTTGTTCCTTTACCCTCAAAAACTTGGGTCGACCTATAAACGAGGAATATCATAAATTAACGATTTCTTGGTCATAAAATCGGGGTCGACCTATATATGAAGGGGGGTTATAGACGAGTATATACGGTACTTCCTTTAATCACATACTATCTCTGACAACACATCCTTCTCCACACACACACAAATATGTTTAAGTAATATATCTTCACAAAAAGCTATTAGCAAATGAACCCATGAATGACTTCCTTGACCAACTCTTCCCAAAGACCTCCTCGGCACTACTAAAATATAAATTTTTCTTTCTTCTTTTTTTACAAATAACCACTCACTTGGTATAATTTAAAACTCTTTTCAGCTAATTAAGGATCAGCTAACAATGCACTACAGAACTTTGACATAAAAGAAGGTTTAAATAAATACGTTACTTTACACATACAAACTTGTGTATAGGTGAACAAAGGCAGTTTTGTGTGCCAGGAATACAATCCCTCTATAATAGACTATAGGAGATAACTGTAAGTCAGGCAAGTTACTCTAGCTAGAGGTACAGGCACCTCCAGGTGTGTTGGTAACCAACACTCTGCGAGGCGAGAGTACTGTACATTAATTTTTCCTATATAATTCTCCACAACTAACCACTCAAACTGCTCGATAGTGACAGAAGCAGGTAAAACTGTTCACCCCAATACAATCTAAACACTTTTGTGTTAGATAAAATTTGAACACTTAAGGTTAGGTTAAAATAAAATGATACATTCAATGGAATGTATCATTTTTGTATATGGGAGTGAAACAGTTAACAATCAATGCTAGCATATTTATAATCAACTTCACTGTATAAATATGAATTATAACAAAGGGGCACAATTGATCTCGGATTATCTTGCCTAATTTCATTACCGTATAATAATGGTCAAATGGTTATGTATCGGTTAACAACAGTTCAAGGTCAAAGGGCATAATATATTTTCAGTACAGGTGCACCTCTACTTATGAACGAGTTATGTTCCCGAGGCTTGTTTCTAAGTCCAACTTTACTCTTGTAGATACCAAACATATTGCAAAAAATGAAAAGATTATGGACATTTAGTACAGCTATACCCTTAATACAGCCTGAAAACCTGGCACACTCTTCTCCTCTTTGGTAATGTTTGTTCTATCCGGAATTTTCTTCAAATAATCTAGTCTCATCCACATTAAACACCTGTTCTGGCAGGTAACCCCCCTCAGTGATGATATTTGTATCTCTGAAAGTTTGTAAGTTGAACGTTATTAAGAAGAAAAGCACCTGTACTGTAGTTAAAAAAGGGACACATCTTACCTGCTGTGATGGCAAGTGTACTGGTGAAAACACAATTCTTCAATCTCCATGATCCACCCAAAGTCGATGGACAGTAGCCCTTATTGGACAATTACCTATAACAATTCCAATATCAATAGAATATATATATATATATATATATATATAAATATATATATATATATATATATATATATATATATATATATATATATATATATATATATATATATATATATATATATATATAAAGAAAATATTGACAAAATTCGAGAAATTCTAAAGGTGACAAAAAAAGTTACTTCCTTTAATCACATACTCTCTCTGACAACACATCCTTCTCCACACACACACAAATATGTTTAAGTAATATATCTTCACAAAAAGCTATTAGCAAATGAACCCATGAATGACTTCCTTGACCAACTCTTCCCAAAGACCTCCTCGGCACTACTAAAATATACATTTTTCTTTCTTCTTTTTTTACAAATAACAACACTCACTTGGTATAATTTAAAACTCTTTTCAGCTAATTAAGGATCAGCTAACAATGCACTACAGAACTTTGACATAAAAGGAGGTTTAAATAAATACGTTACTTTACACATGCAAACTTGTGTATAGGTGAACAAAGGCAGTTTTGTGTGCCAGGAATACAATCCCTCTATAATAGACTATAGGAGATAACTGCAAGTCAGGCAAGTTACTCTAGCTAGAGGTACAGGCACCTCCAGGTGTATTGGTAACCAACACTCTGCGAGGCGAGAGTACTGTACATTAATTTTTCTATATAATTCTCCACAATAACCACTCAAACTGCCGATAGTGACAGAAGCAGTGGTAGAGATATTAGGAAAACTGTTCACCCCAATACAATCTAAACACTTTTGTGTTAGATAAAATTTGAACACTTAAGGTTAGGTTAAAATAAAATGATACATTCAATGGAATGTATCATTTTTGTATATGGGAGTGAAACAGTTAACAATCAATGCTAGCATATTTATAATCAACTTCACTGTATAAATATGAATTATAACAAAGGGGCACAATTGATCTCGGATTATCTTGCCTAATTTCATTACCGTATAATAACGGTCAAATGGTTATGTATCGGTTAACAACAGTTCAAGGTCAAAGGGCATAATATATTTTCAGTACAGGTGCACCTCTACTTACGAACGAGTTATGTTCCCTAGGCTTGTTTGTAAGTCCAACTCTACTCTTGTAGATACCAAACATATTGCAAAAAATGAAAAGATTATGGACATTTAGTACAGCTATACCCTTAATACAACCTGAAAACCTGGCACACTCTTCTCCTCTTTGGTAATGTTTGTTCTATCCGGAATTTTCTTCAAATAATCTAGTCTCATCCACATTAAACACCTGTTCTGGCAGGTAACCCCCCTCAGTGATGATATTTGTATCTCTGAAAGTTTGTAAGTTGAACGTTCTTAAGAAGAGGAGCACCTGTACTGTAGTTAAAAAAGGGACACATCTTACCTGCTGTGATGGCAAGTGTACTGGTGAAAACACATTTCTTCAATCTCCATGATCCACCCAAAGTCGATGGACAGTAGCCCTTATTGGACAATTACCTATAACAATTCCAATAACAATAGAATATATATATATATATATATATATATATATATATATATATATATATATATATATATATATATATATATATATATATATAAAGAAAATATTGACAAAATTCGAGAAATTCTAAAGGTGACAAAAAAAGTTACTTCCTTTAATCACATACTATCTCTGACAACACATCCTTCTCCACACACACACAAATATGTTTAAGTAATATATCTTCACAAAAAGCTATTAGCAAATAAACCCATGAATGACTTCCTTGACCAATTCTTCCCAAAGACCTCCTTGGCACTACTAAAATATACATTTTTCTTTCTTCTTTTTTTACAAATAACCACTCACTTGGTATAATTTAACTCTCTTTTCAGCTAATTAAGGATCTGCTAACAATGCACTACAGAACTTTGACATAAAAGGAGGTTTAAATAAATAAGTTACTTTACACATGCAAACTTGTGTATAGGTGAACAAAGGCAGTTTTGTGTGCCAGGAATACAATCCCTCTATAATAGACTATAGGAGATAACTGTAAGTCAGGCAAGTTACTATAGCTAGAGGTACAGGCACCTCCAGGTGTGTTGGTAACCAACACTCTGCGAGGCGAGAGTACTGTACATTAATTTTTCCTATATAATTCTCCACAACTAACCACTCAAACTGCTCGATAGTGACAGAAGCAGGTAGTGGGAGTATAGGAAAACTGTTCACCCCAATACAATCTAAACACTTTTGTGTTAGATAAAATTTGAACACTTAAGGTTAGGTTAAAATAAAATGATACATTCAATGGAATGTATCATTTTTGTATATGGGAGTGAAACAGTTAACAATCAATGCTAGCATATTTATAATCAACTTCACTGTATAAATATGAATTATAACAAAGGGGCACAATTGATCTCGGATTATCTTGCCTAATTTCATTACCGTATAATAATGGTCAAATGGTTATGTATCGGTTAACAACAGTTCAAGGTCAAAGGGCATAATATATTTTCAGTACAGGTGCACCTCTACTTATGAACGAGTTATGTTCCCGAGGCTTGTTTCTAAGTCCAACTTTACTCTTGTAGATACCAAACATATTGCAAAAAATGAAAAGATTATGGACATTTAGTACAGCTATACCCTTAATACAGCCTGAAAACCTGGCACACTCTTCTCCTCTTTGGTAATGTTTGTTCTATCCGGAATTTTCTTCAAATAATCTAGTCTCATCCACATTAAACACCTGTTCTGGCAGGTAACCCCCCTCAGTGATGATATTTGTATCTCTGAAAGTTTGTAAGTTGAACGTTCTTAAGAAGAGGAGCACCTGTACTGTAGTTAAAAAAGGGACACATCTTACCTGCTGTGATGGCAAGTGTACTGGTGAAAACACAATTCTTCAATCTCCATGATCCACCCAAAGTTATATATATATATATATATATATATATATATATATATATATATATATATATATATATATATATATATATATATATATATATATATATATATATATATATATATATATATATATATATATATATATATATATATATATATATATATATATATATATATATATATATATATATATATATAAAGAAAATAAGTTGACAAATTCGAGAAATTCTAAAGGTGACAAAAAAAGTTACTTCCTTTAATCACATACTATCTCTGACAACACATCCTTCTCCACACACACACAAATATGTTTAAGTAATATATCTTCACAAAAAGCTATAAGCAAATGAACCCATGAATGACTTCCTTGACCAACTCTTCCCAAAGACCTCCTCGGCACTACTAAAATATACATTTTTCTTTCTTCTTTTTTTACAAATAACCACTCACTTGGTATAATTTAACTCTCTTTTCAGCTAATTAAGGATCAGCTAACAATGCACTACAGAACTTTGACATAAAAGGAGGTTTAAATAAATACGTTACTTTACACATGCAAACTTATGTATAGGTGAACAAAGGCAGTTTTGTGTGCCAGGAATACAATCCCTCCATAATAGATTATAAGAGATAACTGTAAGTCAGGCAAGTTACTCTAGCTAGAGGTACAGGCACCTCCAGGTGTGTTGGTAACCAACACTCTGCGAGGCGAGAGTACTGTACATTAATTTTTCCTATATAATTCTCCACAACTAACCACTCAAACTGCTCGATAGTGACAGAAGCAGGTAGTGGGAGTATAGGAAAACTGTTCACCCCAATACAATCTAAACACTTTTGTGTTAGATAAAATTTGAACACTTAAGGTTAGGTTAAAATAAAATGATACATTCAATGGAATGTATCATTTTTGTATATGGGAGTGAAACAGTTAACAATCAATGCTAGCATATTTATAATCAACTTCACTGTATAAATATGAATTATAACAAAGGGGCACAATTGATCTCGGATTATCTTGCCTAATTTCATTACCGTATAATAATGGTCAAATGGTTATGTATCGGTTAACAACAGTTCAAGGTCAAAGGGCATAATATATTTTCAGTACAGGTGCACCTCTACTTACGATCGAGTTATGTTCCCTAGGCTTGTTTGTAAGTCCAACTCTACTCTTGTAGATACCAAACATATTGCAAAAAATGAAAAGATTATGGACATTTAGTACAGCTATACCCTTAATACAACCTGAAAACCTGGCACACTCTTCTCCTCTTTGGTAATGTTTGTTCTATCCGGAATTTTCTTCAAATAATCTAGTCTCATCCACATTAAACACCTGTTCTGGCAGGTAACCCCCCTCAGTGATGATATTTGTATCTCTGAAAGTTTGTAAGTTGAACGTTATTAAGAAGAAAAGCACCTGTACTGTAGTTAAAAAAGGGACACATCTTACCTGCTGTGATGGCAAGTGTACTGGTGAAAACACAATTCTTCAATCTCCATGATCCACCCAAAGTCGATGGACAGTAGCCCTTATTGGACAATTACCTATAACAATTCCAATATCAATAGAATATATATATATATATATATATATATATATATATATATATATATATATATATATATATATATATATATATATATATATATATATATATATATATATATATATATATATATATATATATATATATATATATATATATATATATATATATATATATATATATATATATATATATATATATATATATATATATATATAAAGAAAATATTGACAAAATTCGAGAAATTCTAAAGGTGACAAAAAAAGTTACTTCCTTTAATCACATACTATCTCTGACAACACATCCTTCTCCACACACACACACAAATATGTTTAAGTAATATATCTTCACAAAAAGCTATTAGCAAATAAACCCATGAATGACTTCCTTGACCAATTCTTCCCAAAGACCTCCTTGGCACTACTAAAATATACATTTTTCTTTCTTCTTTTTTTACAAATAACCACTCACTTGGTATAATTTAAAACTCTTTTCAGCTAATTAAGGATCCGCTAACAATGCACTACAGAACTTTGACATAAAAGGAGGTTTAAATAAATACGTTACTTTACACATGCAAACTTGTGTATAGGTGAACAAAGGCAGTTTTGTGTGCCAGGAATACAATCCCTCTATAATAGACTATAGGAGATAACTGTAAGTCAGGCAAGTTACTATAGCTAGAGGTACAGGCACCTCCAGGTGTGTTGGTAACCAACACTCTGCGAGGCGAGAGTACTGTACATTAATTTTTCCTATATAATTCTCCACAACTAACCACTCAAACTGCTCGATAGTGACAGAAGCAGGTAGTGGGAGTATAGGAAAACTGTTCACCCCAATACAATCTAAACACTTTTGTGTTAGATAAAATTTGAACACTTAAGGTTAGGTTAAAATAAAATGATACATTCAATGGAAAGTATCATTTTTGTATATGGGAGTGAAACAGTTAACAATCAATGCTAGCATATTTATAATCAACTTCACTGTATAAATATGAATTATAACAAAGGGGCACAATTGATCTCGGATTATCTTGCCTAATTTCATTACCGTATAATAATGGTCAAATGGTTATGTATCGGTTAACAACAGTTCAAGGTCAAAGGGCATAATATATTTTCAGTACAGGTGCACCTCTACTTATGAACGAGTTATGTTCCCGAGGCTTGTTTCTAAGTCCAACTTTACTCTTGTAGATACCAAACATATTGCAAAAAATGAAAAGATTATGGACATTTAGTACAGCTATACCCTTAATACAGCCTGAAAACCTGGCACACTCTTCTCTTTGGTAATGTTTGTTCTATCCGGAATTTTCTTCAAATAATCTAGTCTCATCCACATTAAACACCTGTTCTGGCAGGTAACCCCCCTCAGTGATGATATTTGTATCTCTGAAAGTTTGTAAGTTGAACGTTCTTAAGAAGAGGAACACCTGTACTGTAGTTAAAAAAGGGACACATCTTACCTGCTGTGATGGCAAGTGTACTGGTGAAAACACATTTCTTCAATCTCCATGATCCACCCAAAGTCGATGGACAGTAGCCCTTATTGGACAATTACCTATAACAATTCCAATAACAATAGAATATATATATATATATATATATATATATATATATATATATATATATATATATATATATATATATATATATATATATATATATATATATATATATATATATATATATATATATATATATAAAGAAAATATTGACAAAATTCGAGAAATTCTAAAGGTGACAAAAAAAGTTACTTCCTTTAATCACATACTATCTCTGACAACACATCCTTCTCCACACACACACAAATATGTTTAAGTAATATATCTTCACAAAAAGCTATTAGCAAATAAACCCATGAATGACTTCCTTGACCAATTCTTCCCAAAGACCTCCTTGGCACTACTAAAATATACATTTTTCTTTCTTCTTTTTTTACAAATAACCACTCACTTGGTATAATTTAAAACTCTTTTCAGCTAATTAAGGATCTGCTAACAATGCACTACAGAACTTTGACATAAAAGGAGGTTTAAATAAATAAGTTACTTTACACATGCAAACTTGTGTATAGGTGAACAAAGGCAGTTTTGTGTGCCAGGAATACAATCCCTCTATAATAGACTATAGGAGATAACTGTAAGTCAGGCAAGTTACTATAGCTAGAGGTACAGGCACCTCCAGGTGTGTTGGTAACCAACACTCTGCGAGGCGAGAGTACTGTACATTAATTTTTCCTATATAATTCTCCACAACTAACCACTCAAACTGCTCGATAGTGACAGAAGCAGGTAGTGGGAGTATAGGAAAACTGTTCACCCCAATACAATCTAAACACTTTTGTGTTAGATAAAATTTGAACACTTAAGGTTAGGTTAAAATAAAATGATACATTCAATGGAATGTATCATTTTTGTATATGGGAGTGAAACAGTTAACAATCAATGCTAGCATATTTATAATCAACTTCACTGTATAAATATGAATTATAACAAAGGGGCACAATTGATCTCGGATTATCTTGCCTAATTTCATTACCGTATAATAATGGTCAAATGGTTATGTATCGGTTAACAACAGTTCAAGGTCAAAGGGCATAATATATTTTCAGTACAGGTGCACCTCTACTTATGAACGAGTTATGTTCCCGAGGCTTGTTTCTAAGTCCAACTTTACTCTTGTAGATACCAAACATATTGCAAAAAATGAAAAGATTATGGACATTTAGTACAGCTATACCCTTAATACAGCCTGAAAACCTGGCACACTCTTCTCTTTGGTAATGTTTGTTCTATCCGGAATTTTCTTCAAATAATCTAGTCTCATCCACATTAAACACCTGTTCTGGCAGGTAACCCCCCTCAGTGATGATATTTGTATCTCTGAAAGTTTGTAAGTTGAACGTTCTTAAGAAGAGGAACACCTGTACTGTAGTTAAAAAAGGGACACATCTTACCTGCTGTGATGGCAAGTGTACTGGTGAAAACACAATTCTTCAATCTCCATGATCCACCCAAAGTCGATGGACAGTAGCCCTTATTGGACAATTACCTATAACAATTCCAATATTAAAATAATATATATATATATATATATATATATATATATATATATATATATATATATATATATATATATATATATATATATATATATATATATATATATATATATATATATATATATATATATATATATATATATATATATATATATATATATATATATATATATATATATATATATATATATATATATATATATATATATATATAAAGAAAATATTGACAAAATTCGAGAAATTCTAAAGGTGACAAAAAAAGTTACTTCCTTTAATCACATACTATCTCTGACAACACATCCTTCTCCACACACACACAAATATGTTTAAGTAATATATCTTCACAAAAAGCTATAAGCAAATGAACCCATGAATGACTTCCTTGACCAACTCTTCCCAAAGACCTCCTCGGCACTACTAAAATATACATTTTTCTTTCTTCTTTTTTTACAAATAACCACTCACTTGGTATAATTTAAAACTCTTTTCAGCTAATTAAGGATCAGCTAACAATGCACTACAGAACTTTGACATAAAAGGAGGTTTAAATAAATACGTTACTTTACACATGCAAACTTATGTATAGGTGAACAAAGGCAGTTTTGTGTGCCAGGAATACAATCCCTCCATAATAGATTATAAGAGATAACTGTAAGTCAGGCAAGTTACTCTAGCTAGAGGTACAGGCACCTCCAGGTGTGTTGGTAACCAACACTCTGCGAGGCGAGAGTACTGTACATTAATTTTTCCTATATAATTCTCCACAACTAACCACTCAAACTGCTCGATAGTGACAGAAGCAGGTAGTGGGAGTATAGGAAAACTGTTCACCCCAATACAATCTAAACACTTTTGTGTTAGATAAAATTTGAACACTTAAGGTTAGGTTAAAATAAAATGATACATTCAATGGAATGTATCATTTTTGTATATGGGAGTGAAACAGTTAACAATCAATGCTAGCATATTTATAATCAACTTCACTGTATAAATATGAATTATAACAAAGGGGCACAATTGATCTCGGATTATCTTGCCTAATTTCATTACCGTATAATAACGGTCAAATGGTTATGTATCGGTTAACAACAGTTCAAGGTCAAAGGGCATAATATATTTTCAGTACAGGTGCACCTCTACTTACGATCGAGTTATGTTCCCTAGGCTTGTTTGTAAGTCCAACTCTACTCTTGTAGATACCAAACATATTGCAAAAAATGAAAAGATTATGGACATTTAGTACAGCTATACCCTTAATACAACCTGAAAACCTGGCACACTCTTCTCCTCTTTGGTAATGTTTGTTCTATCCGGAATTTTCTTCAAATAATCTAGTCTCATCCACATTAAACACCTGTTCTGGCAGATAACCCCCCTCAGTGATGATATTTGTATCTCTGAAAGTTTGTAAGTTGAACGTTCTTAAGAAGAAGAGCACCTGTACTGTAGTTAAAAAAGGGACACATCTTACCTGCTGTGATGGCAAGTGTACTGGTGAAAACACAATTCTTCAATCTCCATGATCCACCCAAAGTCGATGGACAGTAGCCCTTATTGGACAATTACCTATAACAATTCCAATATCAATAGAATATATATATATATATATATATATATAAATATATATATATATATATATATATATATATATATATATATATATATATATATATATATATATATATATATATATATATATATAAATATATATATATATATATATATATATATATATATATATATATATATATATATATATATATATATATATATATATATATATATATATATATATAGAAAATGTTGACAAAATTCGAGAAATTCTAAAGGTGACAAAAAAAGTTACTTCCTTTAATCACATACTATCTCTGACAACACATCCTTCTCCACACACACACAAATATGTTTAAGTAATATATCTTCACAAAAAGCTATTAGCAAATGAACCCATGAATGACTTCCTTGACCAATTCTTCCCAAAGACCTCCTCGGCACTACTAAAATATACATTTTTCTTTCTTCTTTTTTTACAAATAACCACTCACTTGGTATAATTTAACTCTCTTTTCAGCTAATTAAGGATCTGCTAACAATGCACTACAGAACTTTGACATAAAAGGAGGTTTAAATAAATACGTTACTTTACACATGCAAACTTGTGTATAGGTGAACAACGGCAGTTTTGTGTGCCAGGAATACAATCCCTCTATAATAGACTATAGGAGATAACTGTTAAAACACACACACACACACACACACACACACACATACACACACACACACAAGCGGTCACAGTCACTAGTGTCGTATGTTAAGTCAGTGTCAGTGGCTACATATTCACTATACTGAATCTTTTTTGCTTATGAATACATATCACCAATACACGGCTGATATACACGTCATACACCTATAATACATAGTTACATACACTGTACACACTCACTATAAAACATACACGCAGTATCCATAGAGTATACATGTATATAATCTGGAATCACGTGAATTATGCATAATTTACACACGTCTAGCGTTATGTATTACACAAGTTAACACAAGTAGGTAATGCTTACTTATAATTCTACTCATTATTTCTCTTTCATGCTAAAATCATCGTAGTTTCTAATTTTACCTTTTTCTCCAATTCTAGGTCACCACTAATACCTCATATCACTATTTCTGGGTCGCCTTTTATCTAATACTTAATATATGTCGTTTCTAATAACTACAGAACAACAGCATGGCAACATTTACACCTTAATGATGTACTGTACAAGGTTGAATTGTCTCATTATCAAAAACTTACTTTCATTAGTCAGCCTTAATCCCTCTCCAATCCTCCCCATGTGTTCTATACAATAAGGTGTACTATACTTAATTTGTGTTTTATTAATATTATTGAATAAAGTATTTATTAAAAAAGTCCAAAATTAATTATATTTTAAGAATAGTCTACCAGGCAACTAATCCATAAAGAATTTATATAATAAAGAACACTAGAACATTTTTATCTTGGGTCTACATATTATTAACTAGAGTCGCCGGTATTTACAAGCTAATGCATTTCATAAGACTTTTACCCAGGATATAAATATATAATAAGTCAATAAATAGATAAGATCTACTCGGATATGGGACACACTTACTGTAGTTCAGGGTAATATAGAATCAGTAAACAGTTCATAGCACTAATTTTTGTTTTGCTGGATATAATGAGTAAAGAATATAGTTCACCCAAAATCAGTCTAGAGGGAGACAATGTGTATGTATCGTGATGTATATTTTCAAAAAGCGTTTATGGGGAAAATAATCCTAAACCGAGACAGATGATGAAGTAAGGTACAGGATAACACGGTAAGAGGGAACGTTTTTAAAGTAAGGTATAGGATAACACTGTAAGGGGGAACGTTTTTTTAAGTAAGATACAGGATAACACGGTAAGAGGGAACGTTTTTTAAGTAAGATACAGAATAACACGGTAAGAGGGAACGTGTTTTAAGTAAGGTACAGGATAACACGATAAGGGGGAACGTTTTTAAAGTAAGGTACAGGATAACACGGTAAAGGGGAACGTTTTTTATTATTTAAGATGTTGACCTACGAGAGTAAAAGCTTTGATAACATGGCTGAGTTTTTGTTGTTGTTGAACACCTGAGCAGCACGACGCCCACACCCCGGGAAAGGACACCACCAGTCGTGACCTTGATATGAAGGTGTGTAGCCTTGTGGATGGTTCTAGCCGATGGAGAGGACGAGGGAGGTTCTTATCCTTCCTAATCTCACTCTATCTTATTTTTAACCTCGTGGCTGTTGCTGCTGTGGCATGGTTTGGTGTGATGGCATGGGTTGGTGTAGGAGTATGGGCTTATATTATTATTATTATTATTATTATTATTATTTTGTGATTTGTCTTTGATGATAGTTTTCAGTGACATAAGAACATGGGCTGGTGTAGGCGCTGTTCTGATGAGGGGACTATGGGCTTGCTTACTGACATACTGCAAGTGGTTCCTTATCTTCCACGTATTAGTTGTCGCTATTATCTCCATCACATAGCTCCTCGTATATATGTACTGGAACATATGCGTTTCTTTGTTCACTTCATTATCTCAAACACGTTCCTAAGTCTCCTCATTTGTTGGTCTCGCCTCCTAATTGAATTTTTTCTTTATATTCATTTGTATTTTATAGTTTCTCTTACATATTTTTCTGAGCTTCGTTCTCTGTATTTAATTCCGTTTTCTCTGGTGGTTGGTATCGACACAGGCCCTATTGATGATGGCGTTACCTCCTCTTGATAATTATGACGGAGGGAAATTCTGAACTTGGTAATGATTTTCATGGAAAGGTCCGTAAAGTCCCTGGAATGCATGACGAGTAACTAGACCAGTGAACGGTTGATTATTATTTTATGAATTAAATAACACATCGCTCGCCACACATAGAAAAATTGCTTTTATACTTAAGGGGCTGTCACACTGGGCAAATTTTCGCATTCCTCGGTAGATAAACGGCGATTATTCTCGGTTAGATTTTCCTCCTGTATGCTGCCAGATCTGGGGTCACTAAATCTAAGGGGATAACTTAACTCTAATCTTAATTTCTAAGGGTCGCTGCCACCAGACCCCCTCTGGACAGCATGTAGCTCGTTAGGTAGCGGGCAGAGTGAACTAGGCATTGGGTTAGGTTTTCCATTGATCAGATCGATAAGGGTAAAGAAGGGTGGAACCATAACATGTCTTCATTGATTTATTTCTTATAAAACACACTGGTAAAAAAAACATACATGAACTGGCCTTCCTCAGAAGAACAACGGAATTTTGGTTACCCAACTGGGCCCCAGACTCCTACATTACTGGCGGGTCATCCACCCACTTATTGCACAACAATCGGTGAACGCCGTATCTCGGTCGTTCCTTCTTACAATATCCCTTAACACATCAGACTGGTCCACTGGTGTGGCTTGTAGCACCGTCGGTTATCATACATAGTAGCACCATCGCAACACACCTGTTACACTCCATACCTGCAAGTATGTGACTCCTTGTGACTTTTAGGTCTACACCACGGGCCCCTCGTTCGCACACCGCCCTCGGTGGGTAAGGACGAGGGCTTGACCTAGAGACATACCAGCACTATTTCTACGCCTGGTATTATAGGTCGCTCCAAGTGACGACCGCAGTTTCTCACGGTCTCCTTAGTTGTGACTATTCATGTGGAGTGGTGCGCTGGGAATCCACCGGTTCATAGTGGACTGGTATAGTGGGGAGTAATTCCCCACCTGGTGTGGCGCTCCAGGAGACAATGGCGGCTGGGCGGCAAGATACCCCAACCACGTGGCACCTGTGTTGACGGCAGAACGGGAAAGACTAAGCAATAATGCCTGACGGGCGGTTATCCCATCCCTTAACACATCCCTATCACACTTATATATCCGGCAAAGCTTTAAACTGTAGTCACTGTTATTTATCAACCTTAATTGTAGGGCGGGATATAGCCCGCTAGGACACTGACCTGTGTTGACGGCAGAACGGGAAAGACTAAGGCCGGCTTCCCGCCGCTTCTCGTCACATAGGCCTACAGTTTCCAATCCTCAATTTACATTTTTGTTTCTTATGGTTCTCACCTGAACACTTTACGGTATATTGTCACTCATTTCTTATAAACACATATATTAATCCTAACTTATACACTAAGGTCAGGTCTTGGTTTGCTAGTGCTTGGTTAAATGCCTGGGATTTTAATATCAACGGGCATCTGAGGCGGGTACATGACGCGCCTTGAAACAAAAGCCGAATGATCATGGCGGGGGTGTATCAACTTCACTTAAAAACTGTAATGAGGGGTCCTCCTCTCACACAGCGCACGATTTGAACACAGACCTCAGATTCTCTGATCACTGTACCTGTCGTGGGTATATGTCACGTGAGGCTACGAGGTGTATTAAATTCATACCGACGCATACACGATATTTCCTTTCCAGTATAGTTTCTAGATCACTGTCAACACCTCACATAGTTCTGATACATTTATCCCTTTTTCCCGATCATTGTTCTCATGTATTTTCATATGATATCTGTTGGGGTTAGGTTCGCTACACGCTCACAGACGTAAATAGTAGGACCTTCAAACCCTGCTCCACACTTAGTCTTACAGTACCCTAGTCCGGCTCAACTGGACTTAACATTCATCTTATGCCTACCCTGAGTGATCCTTAATGCTATGAATACATACACTTGATATGATATAACTATACCTGGGTACAATACCACACATGGTCTAGGAACCTTGAGTAGGTGAGTTGTCCTTTCTCAATGTTTCCCGTTTTCTGGGGTTCTACAAGCGCTGTGCATTTGAATGTTATGTAGCGTAATATGAATTAGATGGGATTTTTAGGGATGACAATGATGTGCGCAGTACATAGCCTTCCCCTCCCAAAGGTTCATATTATGCGAAATAATATGCAAAGCACTAACGCTGTAGTGTACATACATTTTACAACATCCTAATAGTTCATGATTAGAGTACCTTAATCCAACACACAAAACATAAGGAGACTTAAACGTTTCCTACGAGCGTCTCCGCTACCATA